AAAAGTTTTTTCGTTATCATAAACGAAAAAAAGGTTATCGTAGTAAAAATAGTAGATTTTTGCAGTATGGGAACAGACCGAATTTGTACAAACTATTAATATTAACAAATATGTAAACATATTCCATTTTTTTGGACATATCATAAATTATATGCTCAAAAATTTGAAAATTTTACAAGTATTTACAAATAAAAAAAACTTCTTCATTTTTATGCCAAAATATCATGAGAACACACTCAAATGTTATTTCCGCATGCGAACACATATGAATGTTCTTCCCAACACCCCACCCTCGCTCCCCCAACTGATGGAAAACACTCACTCATTTCTCCAAAACAGCTCGATATAGAACTTGGTGGACAAGCTTTGCCGTCCGTCAACACGGTTAGTTGTGTATCAACAACAAATCCGCAAAGTAAACGCGCCAACAAACAGAGCAGATACGCGTCCAAATATTTCAAAACAATAAATATTAAAAATAAAGAAATACTATTCAGTAATATTTGAAACCCTAATTGGAACGGAAGTCCTTGGAACAAAAAAATAAAACGATTATGTGAGTTTATTGGATTTATCATAAAAAAATTAAATAAATAAAATACCATTCTAAAAATGGCTACATAGAATGCATCGTTCAGAGAAGTATTTCGGGCAAATATTTATTTGTGAATCCTGACCTAAATTAACAATTTTCTTTCACGACTGTTTATTAGCATCTGGAAGTTTTGTTTATAATATAAAACATTTGAATTAATATGTTCCATATATCTCAATGTCTTCCGTTGTGGTTGTTAACAAAAATGTTTTCAATTATTATGTCAATTATTTTGTGCCGATCAATAGAGGGGGAGATTGACATTTTTATTCATGTCACATCTTTTGTTTGTGTTTTTGTGGGGCATTTATGGCGCCTAGATCGTAACATCCGACCTACCTACATTCAATTTCATTCTTGAAAATGGGAGGGAGGGATGTGTTTACTGTATACCAACAAATACATGCAGATTCCATGGAACGGTAATGTTGGTTATGATGGGGAGGATGGGTATTCATATTTACGCGTCTGCAAAAACAAACATCATCATAAGGTTCTGAGCGATGATGATGACGATGGGTGGCTAGGGGTAATTGTTTTATATCATGCGCAAATTTTATGTACACTCATTTCCCCTAGTGTACATTCAATGCTATGATGCCATAAACAGTGATGGTGGCATCCCCCTTCATGACATGGGAAGTGTAGCTAGCCCCCAACCAGCCAAAAAGGTTCTACGTTGTTTTTGTTAAATCGGTTTAACTTAAGAAGTCCTATTGAATATTTATCAAGTGAAAGTAACAGTATTGCAGAAATACGAGAAGTTTAAACGGATTTTTTAACTTTCAATTTCCTTTCGGGATTTTCTCTTTTACCAATAGAATAGAAGAGATTGGCAATTAAAAAATAAACAGAATTGTTTTGACATATTTTTATTCTTTTGTTTGAAAATGTCATTGTCCATATTTACAGTCAAATTTGTAATAATTTGTACAAAATGCTACACAAAAGATTTAAATTGAGGGAGATATCTTGAATTTTGTATTACTGAGAGTTTTAAAATCATATCGGAAATGTTTTGTATAAGCTAAAGTCAATGGATATAATCATCTACTACATTTTTTCCAAATGTTATCCAAAACATTTCAATTGCAATTCGAGAATTTCGTTTGTAAGTCTGGGTTTATACATGCAACTTTTTTAAGCAACGCTGCTGCTGCTCTCTACGATTCTCTTTTGAATTTCGCTTTTTATACCTCTCACTTCTAAGAACTCAGCAGAGTTGCTTACAAAAGTTGCATGCACAAACCCAGACTAATTGGAAAACTTAATTTGCAATTCATAACATTTCAGTTGCTATTCGAGGATGTAATTGGTAATTTACAGCATTTCTTTTATAATTTTCAACATTTCATATGAATTCCAAAAAAAAAAATCATTTGAAATTCGTATATCTCTATTTGAAATTCGTACAGTTTCATTTGAATTTTAAATAAATTTTTTTACAAATCAAAGAATTCAGTTTGAGATTCATAACATTTCACTTGTAATTCATAATATTTCAGTTGTAATTTGTAACAATTCATTTCAAATTCAAACATATTCTTTGTGTGTTACCTATAATATTTTTCGAATTTAAAATTTTATGTTATGAATAACAAATTGACTGTTATGTATTTCAAATCATATGTTATGAATTTCAAATGGAATCTCTTGGATTTCAAATGGAATTCTTTTTAATTTCAAATGAAATTATATTAAGGAAAACTACGCAGACAAATCTAATGAAAAATGTTAACAGACATTGGACAATTGACGATAATATATATTTAGCAATTTATGGTCAGCAGTTCAATGATCTGTCTTAAATATTGATTTCAACACACAGACGGAGGTGGTTAAATCCACATTTTATTTTGATCAAGAATATGACAAATATAATATGACCTAATGGTGGAGGGTGTAGTAACAAAATTAATTAAAAAACTCCAAGCCGATTACTTGTAACAAAACATTTAATGGGCTAAGTGTCTAAGCTGTGTAACAAATATATTCCTTATAACAAACGAAACAAGAGAATGTTTTTCCCCAATTATTGTACACAGCGCGTAGGTATGCGATGATCATAATTCATTATGATAGCATATAGCAAAAATTAACCGTTTCTCTTTAATAGCATTACTTCCATTTTGATTGTTTCTATACAAAAAAAATGTTTCGTTTTACTGAATGGAGCCAAATAGTGGCATTTCTGTTACGAAATGTTTAAATCTTACATATGTCTGCAATAAATCTTTTATATCATTTTATATCTTAGAAACGACGCGAATTTAATCCCTTTAGGTGTTTTCTTCTTCTGAATAACAAGGCCGTTCAAATGATGTCATATAAAAATACATATATACATACAATGACATAATATACTCATTGCATTCAATGTTATTTATTGTTCGTTCGTTTTAACACTTAAACTAGCGATGGTATTCTACATTTGTTGATGTCAGCGAGGGTAAACAAGAATTTTTTCAATGGAACCACATCGTGTGTACACTTTAACATTGCAATTGGGTATGAGCTCAAACAGTGATAAATAGTTTTGGATGCTTCCATGCACATAATAAGATTATATTACGGAAAAGATTCATTCGATCAATAATTTGACGTTAAATTAAATTTGAATTATAAGAGAATAACAATTGATGCATTGCGAATAACAAAAACAATACTAATTACAATATATTTTAGTTTATTTCACTTCCATTTTAATTATTTTATAACGTAACACACCTCTCGTAATTAGTAACTCAGTAACTACTTTTAAATAACACGGTTCTAATTTTTCAAACAAAAAATAGTTCATGGTGTTGATATGTATTATATTGGTGCATGGATATTGTCAGATATGGCTCTCAGTACGTTATATTTATTCGAACCGGCCGATGTTAAGAATTTTGAATGCCGCTTTCCCACAACATTAGCTTTAGTTCAGTTCTCGCTGATTTAGAAATTATTTATGGCAACCGCTTTTTGGTTTTTTCATTAGGGATATTATACAAATTGCTTCCTAAATGATTTTCAATATTTTTGTGGGATTTATTTCATCTTGAGATAATTTTCTTAATAAATCACAACTATTTATTATTTTTGTTGGTAACATTACAAATCTGTCCTAATGGTTTTAGATCAATTAAAGCTTCCATTATATCAAAACAAATTTCATAACAAAAGGTATCCATTACCTACTTGCTAATTAATAGTTTATATTATATTTTTTGTTTGAGTATTATATTCACATTTTGATTGACTGAAAAACAAAAGTCCATACATTTACCATTTTTAGGAGAGTTTTTTTTTCATATAGAATACCTATTTATTCAATATGAAAATAACACTCCCCTCCACAAAAAAACTTTTGATAAGAATTTTGGTTTTGTTTTGTGGCCAAGTGAATAACGATCTTTATGGTTCGAATACTACACAAAAAGCACACAATAACAAAATATATTACCACATTGGTGTGATGCGAACGACGATATTTAGACTCGTCGTCGTGTATGTAGATTTGACTTCAGTTCTGTTTTGTCCATGATATCATCACCTAAACAAAATTCCGGCAACAGCTCGTACAAAGGGTTTGAAGTATTCGCTCATAAGATAAAAGTTCTTTACAAAACAAATTTGGACAATAAAGAAATTGCTAAAGTGAATTGGTTCGATAACAGTTATTTATTCACCTGCACCACAACTCGACAGTTGCACAAAAACAAAAAAACAAACACCAGGTTTAACTGATTACAAAGCATTGCTGTACTTGGGCATATGAATTAAAATGTTTACAAGTGATAAGGAACAAGCGACGAATTTTACATCCACCGGTTGATATGCCGTATGATATGACAGTTGTAAATCAAACATTGTGTTAGGTCGTGGTAATTTGCAAATCTGCCTATGTTTTGACGAACTATATATGTATGCACGTATGTATATGGTGTAGTTCTTGCTAGACTGTGTTTTTCTGTGCTGTGAAATCTCATATCTAAGGATGTCCGTCCGTCCGTCTTGAGAATAAATTGACATCATACTGTAGCTATGGCATTCAAGTGATTTCTACAGGTTAAGTTATTTAATTGTTGCCAAAATTTCTTTCTTTTTCAATAAAAAATTGGAAATGATGGTTTCTTTAAAGAATTTGCAAGGTGTTTTTTTTAATAAGGCTGTTGTTCTTTAATTTTGTAATCGGGTATTTTAGATACTACGCTAAACATATATAAAATATATTCACAATAAATTTTATTCTAATTGAACCAGATAATGCCGGATACAGCAAAGTGTATTTTGCAATAAATAATGTTCATCGAGACATGTGGGTTGAATCAAATCTTAAATTAAACAATTAATAAAAAGCGTATATTTTATAAAAAAATAGGTATATGAGATTGGGTTTAATTAAAAAAATCAAAATTATATAATAACTTCAAGAACAATGCATAGTATGTCCGCAAGGGTAGCAGCCTACCATCATAGGTGAGTTCGGTGTTCGGTACACTTGCAATATAAAAAAATTATGTATGAATATATTGATGTATAATATTTTAACATTAATTACCGAATTACAACTATGCTAAATGCCTGGTATTGATCATTTCATTCTCAACTGAAATATAATTTTCGTTTTTTTTAATTTTTGCAGAAACAACATGTCCGAAGAAGCAACTAATGGCGTATCCTCCCCATCACCAGCTCCGCCTACCGCAGAATTGGCTGAAATGGCTTTGGAAGAGCCCAAGGTCACATTCCAAGATCAATTCAAAGCCTTCTCGAAATTTGGTGACACCAAATCGGACGGAAAACTGATTACCCTTTCACAAAGCGACAAATGGATGAAACAAGCTAAAGTTATTGATAAGAAAATCACGACCACCGACACCGCCATTCACTTCAAGAAATTCAAAGCAATGAAAATCTCATACAATGACTATAATAAATTCCTAGAGGATTTAGCCAAGACCAAAAAAGTTGAGTTGCAAGAAATAAAAAACAAAATGGCTTCATGCGGTGCTCCCGGAGTTATACATGTTTCGGTAATTATAATATGCTCTCCATTGGAAATAATACATTTACAAGTGGTACAATGTAATTTTTTTATCATTCGTAGGCTGGTAAAGCTGCATCAGCTGTGGAACGCTTGACGGATACTAGCAAATACACCGGTTCCCACAAAGAACGTTTTGATGCCAGCGGCAAAGGCAAGGGTATTGCCGGACGTAAAAATATTGTCGATGATTCTGGCTATGTAACAGGTTATCAAAACAAAGATACCTATCCCGAGGGACAACAATAATCAATTCTCCGGACAGTCATTTTTCCAATAGTGAATCAATATTTATAAGTCTAGTAAAATTTAAGTTAAACAGAAAGTCGCATTCAGAACTAAATTCAACTATGTGTAAGCATACAAATTGCACAACATTCTCCAGTGTACACCCACGAATGTGGTTAGATTTTATGTTAATGTTTTAAGCTCATTTTTTAACTTTTAATTTAAATAAATTGTGATAACATATATGGTTTCTTGTTTATTATTTATTTACATTTGTTACATATAAATGGAAACTTGTACCAATTTTATAACATTTCCCAATAAAATATAATATATTAATTACATCAAATGAAAACAAGTGTATTCATCTATAAGTCTAGGATGGGTGAAAAAGTATATGATACTCTGTTGGCACTATTCCCTTGATATCTGCTACACCAGACTTTATAGCAGCTATAAAATCTAAACTATGCATTTATATTAATTTAATTTTTTTTAAGCTTGATATAAAACATAAAAATATTAACATTAGTGACTAGCATGAACGTCTAATGAAATCAAATCTAATTTTCGAGTTCCTCTTTCTTTTTTTCAAAATTAAAAAAAATATATATCGCTGGCTTAACATGTAGAGGTAACAAGCCCATATTTTACAATTTCCAGGAGAGAAAAAAAACGCAATCAAACTTTTTTTGAATAAAGATTGTTTAAATCCGCAAATGCAATTCGTTTTTGTATTGTATGCGTATGTTATTTGCGTAAAGGCAAAATTGAAAAAATAAGTATTTTTTGGGTAAAGGTAAATTACTGTCAAGAGAAAATGAAATGTGATATATATCCTTAAAAGTGGGCTAATATTACAGTCAATTAGAGCTTTTACATGATGTTTGACCAGCGACATGTGATGAATTGGACTTAGCGCCTTTACTCGTCAATAAAAAACAACAATAACAAATGAGGCAACAATTTATTTAAATCGATGTATTTTGCTTTATATTATACACAACTGTATCAAAATCTCAAGCCAGCGATATGTATGAGGTCAGTAACTTTTAACGTTTTTCCTGCCATCGGAAAAATTAATTAATTGTAGTAACAAATTATTTTGGTTGTATTGTTAATACCTACTGTTACATACTTTAAGTCACATTCTTGTATTGCTGTAATTTAGCTTTAATGGACGGAATGGCTTCAAATTATAATCATAATATAGATATGAATATATAGAACACAGATTTTTCTGCAAAACTATTTAGTTTTCCAATAAATTTAGTAATAATCCCCGCAGGTCTAATAAATAAATTTATTTTTTTTTTTTTTTTTAATTATTTTAGTTGGTAAAACAATATTGTCTTCTGTAATGAAAATTTACCAGCCCCGAAATCGTCTACGTTTTTTGTGTATTTGCGCATAAAATCGTCTTAGCATACGATAATAAAGCATACTACTTTTAATTCTTACTTCGTTCGTCTCATGCAACTATTTTCATTATGTAGTCACATCAACGTTACGACCATTGCTTAAAACACCTGATTGATTATTTCAATCAAACTAAGATCATTACCAAACAACTGAAATCAATATCTAATCTAACACAAACAATAAATATCAGTACAGAACTCAATTCACCTACAACAAACCAGAGCACAATAAACAAGTAACATAACATCACCTGTAGGGTTTATGCAAAACCAATCTTCATAGATCGGATTACTGAATATCAATGATATAAAAAGGCTGCAATGTGGCCTGACGTGACCACAATCGTAGTGAATCCCAAAGCAATACCGCGGTCTATTGTACATTTTTCTAATTAGAATAAAATCACATAGAAAGGATAAACGACGCAATAACCTGATAATATAAAAATATTGAGAAAATATGTCATTGAAAGGAAAACATGCAGTCGTTACAGGCGGAGCTAGTGGCATAGGATTGCAAGTTGTTAAGCAGATGTTGCAGCATGGAGCTGGGGTACATATATTTAAATGCAATAACAATAAACACATATATATTATATTATTTTATTCAGAAAGTCGCAGTCCTGGATATTCAGGATAACTTAGAGGAAATTGTTAGTATGCGACTGGGCTTTCCATCGCAAAGTATTATAGTTTTTAAAATGGACGTTGCAAATCAAAAAGGAATGGAGGCTACATATGAGGAGATTGCAAAGACTTTTGGACATTTGGATATTGTTGTAAACGTTGCTGGTCTCTTTAATGATCAAGACGTCCAGCGAACTATACTCGTTAACTTGGGAGGAATGATCAACTCAACATTGAATGCCTTAAAAATTATGAGCAAAGATCAAGGCGGCAACGGGGGAATTATATGCAATATGTCATCAGTTGTTGGCTTGGATCCTATGTTTCTTGTCCCAGTCTATGCTGCCACCAAAGCTGGTATTATTAACTTCACTCGTTGTTTAGGCGTAAGCATACGGATGAAACCTTTTTTTTCCACTTATTTACCCAATTGTTAATATACGAATTTCTTTTTTCAATCTTTGCCCCACAGAAGGATATATTTTTCGAACGAACCGGAGTCAAAATGATAACAGTTTGTCCAGGTGCCACAATAACAGACATGTTCACCAACTTTACCGAAAAAATACTGTTTCCAGAATTGGGCGATGAATCCTATCGTGTGTTGGATCGCTTACATAAGCAAAGCGCTGCGGACGTGTCTCGTTGCATACTCACTGCCTTAGAGAAGGAAGAAAACGGCGCCGTATACATCATTGAAGGTAAACGGCTATTTCCCATGGAAATGAAAAAATATTGGAGAGGCTTAGAAAAGGAATTACGGGAATAAGAAACAGTGTGTTTTACTTATAAAGAAATGCTTGTTACACACAGTGAAATAATAAATATCCCTACCATAAAAATATACGCCGTTCATTGAGTTATTTACATTCACAGTATCGTCTGTTTATTGACTTAAAATTATTACAAAAATATGCATATGTATCAACAAGATTAGTGTGAGATATATGCAAACTAATCATCACGCCACGTTACTAACACTTCATCGGTACGATACCTTTGTGTTACAAAAGATTCCTCGAAATCCATACGTGTACCGGACTTGAACATTTCTGCCCCAGCATGAGCTATCATCAGACCATTGTCAATGCAATAGCGTTCATCGGTGGCAAATAACTTCCCACCGCGTTCTTCGCACATGATACGCATCATTTCCTGCAGACGTTCATTGCAGCCAACACCACCTACAATTAGAACCTAAACAGTAGATGTCATCATGAAATCGGTTCTATGTAGCCATTTCCCCTCAGTTACCTCATTCGAATCGCAATGTGCCATAGCTCTCTCGGTTATTTCCACCAACATGGCAAATATAGTCTCCTGCAAGGAGTAACAAAGATCAGCCTTAGTGTATTCCGGTTCTTCGGGATCATCGGGTTTCTTTCTTTTGTTACGTCTCTTGCTTGGGTCTGCAATTTCCTCGATGTGAGACAGTAAACCTGAAAAGCTTACATCCATTCCTGCCAAAAAATTCGATTATTTGCATAATTTTAGGCAATTCTATTAACAATCCAGTCCTACCCTTTACTACATATGGCAACTTGACAAATTGTTTTCCCTCCTTGGCCAATTGCTCGATGTTATAACCTGGACTTGGGTCATTGGATAGCCTGATTATCCGAGCAAATCTATCCAAACAGTTACCGACAGCAATATCAATAGTTTCGCCAAAGATGCGATAACGTTTGTGGGAATAGGCAATGACCTGTGTATTGCCACCACTTACATACAGCACTATGGGATTTTTGGCGTTTGTTATTTGCCGACCCATTTCAATGTGTCCTATACAGTGATTGACCCCCAGTAAGGGTTTCTTCCACAACAATGCTAATGTACGGCCGACTATTGCGCCCACCATTAAAGGTGGAGCCATGCCTGGACCTTTCGTATAACAAATTACATCAAGATCCTGTGGCTGAATTTGTGCATCTTTAATAGCTGCCTTTACCAACCCTATGATCTGATCACGGTGGTGTTTTGCGGTTTCTTTTGGTAAGAACCCTGAAAGAGCAATCGAATTGTTATGGCGTACCACCTGAATTTCAACACCAACATTACCTTCTCCTGGCGGTGTGATATACGTCTTTCTGACATTTGCCAAGACATGTCCATCTCTTATTATACCAATTCCTATTTTATTGGCACTTCCTTCAATTCCCAGGGAACAAACCATCTTCAACACGCTCAAAATTACTACAGAGCTCAACCGGACAAAAATAAACGCCTTAGAAAAAAACGGTTGAAGTGACAATGGCCGATAAATATCAAGAATCAAAACAAAAGGACCGATAACGCATTTCCATACACAATTTTTATGATGTGGATTTACGAAATCCTGAAAATAAATTATGTTTTTAAACAGTCTTTACCCAGCAAGCATTTTCTATCCAAAAAATATCAAAAAAGTTACTACCAGGCGATGAAAACACTCGTAGGCGATATCGTATTTTTAACAAATAAGTTATACCGTTTGGGAAGAAATGAACCACGTACTCGTTACCTTTAAAAATTATCTTCTTCGTCACAGTTTGAAGTTAATAAAGCGACACTCCAAAATGACACTGTTTTGTTACCTTAAATATTATCGCCTTAGTCACTTTCAACTTTCACTAAGAAGATACGTTTAAGAAGTGACGAATACGTGTTTCATTTCTTCATTTCTTTTGTTAAAATACCCAAAGTAAAATACATGTATGAATAATGAATAATCTATATTGTGGAAAAAAATCAACATTTAACGCCAAACAAAGATAATATTGATGTTGAGGTTAATACTAAGTAAAACTGAAAACAATATTTAGTTAAATAATGCGTGTAAAATATGTTGTTGACAAACTTTTTTAGGTCCAACAACGACGTCTGGGAAATTTTAGATGGCACATATCTGTAAAAAATAATGTTTTAAAAATTTCAAATTAACACAAAAGTAAGCTGACTTGCCTCTTATTATAGTATATGTTTTAAATCGCTGAAAACTGGGTTTTTTGTATAGTTCCACGCCATGTTATTTCAATTGCTTTTTGATCACTTATAACAGCTTTAATTGCTAATTTACCAAATGATGACATTTCTCTTCCCCCAACACGATTTATTAATATTTTCTTTAAAAAAATTGTATTTAGAACGGTGGCAGAAATTATGATAAAAGTTATATATTATTTCCAATTGATCCCGAACTTCATCTTCTTTTAGAAGCTTTGCATCAAAATTTTTAAAATCGTCGAAAATATAAAACAGCTATGGCAACAATTGCAATTCTTTTTCTAAGGAAGTGGGCATTATGGAATGCCTTATCTCATTCTTTAGATTAATTACTTGCTCCATAAGTGATTTAATTAACATATGTGTGGCCATTTGATTTTTGTTAGTTTCCTTTAAAAAGATTTCCATGGTTTCTTTTCCACTTTTTATTTCAATTTTATGTTCATAAACACTCCGACTTTTAACATCTTTAAGATTTAAGAAAATTATATGTAAGTATTGCATAAAAATTGCATTAGTTTTTAATTTAATTTTTAAACATAAAAAATTATTTTTAATCAATTTGACCGTTTTATGTACTGATAACCGCCGGCAGTGGCTTTAAAAAATTATATAGTTAAATAAATTGATCAATTAATAATAATATAACTCAAATTACCTTGTTTAATGGTTGACATTTCATGATAAATCATTTGCTGACCATTGTTATGATCTAAGTATATTACATTTTCTGCATAATATATATACAGTGAGTGTAATAAGTATTTTGCCTCAATACAGTTTTGACAAATTTATAATATATACACCTAAAGCAAGCATACTAAAGATGTAAAATGAATTATGTATGATGAGATATGTTTGTGGACATATTTAGATCTTATTTCTGCAAGAATCAATGCGAAAGATCTATTGGTCTAGAAGATATCGGCCAAAATCTATACCAACTCAAAAATGATTATCACAAAAAAGTATTTTGCTTTTTATTATTATTTTTGAAAAAATCATTATATAACACACGCTTTGTCTTTTTATCGTTACCATTGCGGGTAACCACATACTAAAAGCGATTTGGCGACGATTCCAATAAACCACGGCATTTTTTCGCGAATATTTTCTCACATTTACGTGCATTACATTCTCCAGCAATATTTCTTTTAATATTTGATAATTTCTCGCCCTAATTTCAAAATGAGAGTATTAAATATAGTCGTCGCGGCTTCAAAACATCCCAAATAAGTTTAGAATAATGAAAAGGAGGTTTTGCCAAATATATCGCGAGGACAGGATTTTAAAAACTGTTAAAACCAAAATCCGACAAACAAATTATTTAAAAATATATCGCGAAACCCCATTTTTCTGACTTTGAAAACTTTATGGTCCATTAATATTGATCTAGGAACCAATATATGTGATGGAAATAACAATAAGGAGGTCAGATTCAAAGATATGAACAGTTCTAAAACAACAGAAACTACAAACAGTACATGAATTTGGGAGAAAACATCATTCTTCGTCAAATACTATTGCGTTTTGAAAAACTGTGGTAGCTGGTGACGAAGACGCATTCAATATTTTACATCCGTTCAACACCATCAGTTGCGAATAAAATACAGCAGTGAATAAACTGGTCGATTTATTTATTTTCGAAATAAGGTGTAATTCTATTGCCACAAAACCGTTTATATCTTTGAATCTGACCTTCTTATTGCTATTTTCGTCGTTTATATGGGTTCCTAGATCAATATTAATGGGCCATAAAGTTTTCAAAGTCAGAAAAATGGGGTTTCGCGATATATTTTTAAATATTTTGATTGTCGGATTTTGGTTTTAATAGTTTTTAAAATCCTGTCCTCGCGATATATTTGGCAAAACCTCCTTTTCATTATTCTAAACTTATTTGGGATGTTTTGAAGCCGCGACGACTATATTTAATACTCTCATTTTGAAATTAGGGCGAGAAATTATCAAATATTAAAAGAAATATTGCTGGAGAATGTAATGCACGTAAATGTGAGAAAATATTCGCGAAAAAATGCCGTGGTTTATTGGAATCGTCGCCAAATCGCTTTTAGTATGTGGTTACCCCCAATGGTAACGATAAAAAGACAAAGCGTGTGATATATAGTGATTTTTTCAAAAATAATAATAAGAAGCAAAATACTTTTTTGTGATAATCATTTTTGGGTTGGTATAGATTTTGGCTGATATCTTCTAGACCAATAGGTCTTTCGCTGTGATTTTACAGAAATAAGATCTAAATATGTCCACAAACATATCCCATCATACATAATTATTTTTACATCTTTAGTATGCTTGCTTTAGGCGTATATATTAGAAATTTGTCAAAATTGTATTGAGGCAAAATACTTATTACACTCACTGTATATATATATATATATATATATATGTTTGCAGTTTGTATTATAAAATATACCTTTATTATATGTGCCCATTATTGAATTTAAGGGAAAGCCGTCAGTAATACTTTTCCGCATCTTTCTATATTATTTGATACAGCAATCAAAAATGTTTCAGGCCGAAGATTTTTCATAATGAAAATTCAGTAATATCCAAAAATTTTTATTCAATGACAAATATTTATACAACGACGAAGCTATCGAATTTCCATCTTCTTTCATTTAACTAAGTAGTTACTACAAACGATAGAAATTGGATAACAATTCATTTGTTATTTTAAAATTACGAAGTATCACCTTTTTACAAAAAAATAAGAGTCGAAGTAGATAATTATTTGGAGATGGAGTTAGAAACTCAAATGACTTTCAGCTGGTATTTGTTTACATATGCACACTCACACTTGTTTACAAAAAGAATTTTTGGAATTTGATATTTATAATTTTTTTTTATTCCCCAAATACGTATTTTCGGTTTTCTCTTGAATAAAAATCATCTAAAAAAGTCAAAAGTATTTCCGCCGCTCAGTGTACATATCGGTCAACTCCATAAAATGAAAAGTTGAGAAATCCGATGATATATTTGTTTTTTTTTTTAATTTCTTTAATAATATGAATTTAACTATATAATGTATAATCCATAATGGCGATAAAATATATTAGACATAAAATTTATTATGAGTATAAAAAGTTGTGACTATACCAAGAACTTTGATACCTAAATGTATTATTTTGCAAAAAGTGAGTTAATCTTTTTGCACTGAGCAACTTATTTAATGACAACATAAACTATTATTACGCCAAAAATATTTGTTTGTCTGCTTTTCCACAGGCAAATTTTTCTTTGGCAAATACTGAGTTTGTAGGCAAGAGGGGTGCGAGGAAGAAAAACAAAAATTTGCCGTACACGCAAATTCTGCTTTGCTCTGTTCGTTGAAAACAATTTTCTTGATATTTCCTTTTGAACCTATTCGCTTTACTGACACACAGCCGGCTTTTGTTTACAAACCTGTTGCTTTAATTTGTGCAAGTGAAATTTAATTTTTAATTCTTGCAATTTATATAATAAAATATATAAAAATATAAAAAATAATAAAATATTAAAAAAATCTTTAAAATGCAAACACTTTTGACTTTTTTTCTTTCTTTTGTATTTTGATTCGCAAATTTGGCAAAGAAAAATTTGCTAATGGAAAAGCAAGCGAAAATTTCAAAAGAGAAAACAAAAAATTTGCCAAATAAAAATCTGCCTGTGGAAAAGCAGACTTTGCAATTTGAGAATTAAAAGAAAATTAAAAAAAGAACAATGGAAATATTTTTGCAATGCTGTGATAGTTTGAAAAGTAAACAAATCTCCAAATTTAGTTTTCCTTTGTTTTTTATTTTTGGATTTGGCAACCGTAAAATATAAAAACAAACAACATGTGAAAACAGTTGCAAATTTTGGTGCATTGTGAACGGTTGTATTTTTTCGTACAAAACCGCGTTGTATCTCTTTAGTTACATCGAGCCATATTCGCCAAAAAAAACGTAACCCTCAAATTGGAAATTTTACAGTAGGTTTCTTTTAATAAATTCAGATTTAATAAAGCTATTATTTTGAAATTTAGAACTATAGTTTTGTTATAAACTAGTTTTATTTTAAACTATAGTTCTAAATTTCAAAATAATAGCGTTATTAAATCTGAATTTATTAAAAGAAACCTCCTACTGTAAAATTTCAAATTTGAGGGTTACGTTTTTTTGGCGAATATGACTCGACATGATGTCGATCATGATTTAAAATAAACCCTGCCATACGATGGTTTAAATTTGTATGGTCAAATGTTATATGTAAATCCGCTTTTAAGAAGGTGGCGTATAGTCAATGGAATTTACGATTAAAATCGAATGGATGAAGTAGTCTAAACACGATTTAAATTTGTTTACAAAAAGACGTGAATTTTGATATTATTTTACATATTTCGAGTTCTGAGGTGATATATATTTGTGTTTGTAATTTTTTTTTTCATAAACGAAAACCTATATTTACACTTGTACCGTTTAGATATTGAAAATCGATCAACGATTTTGTTTTTCTTTCTCGACCTACAAAGCCCTAATGGAATTTTTCCCTTTGTTTTGATTCCAAATATTTATTGTTAGTTTTCTGTTTTTATATTTTTATGTACGCCGTCGTTTATTTTCTGCGGCTTAGAAAATCATTGTTTGTTGTATATGTGGAGGAGCTTTGGCACAATATTTTTGTAATAATTGTACAAATAATAAAACAATTACAATTGTATACATTTAAAATGAGCTCGCCTTCGGTAAAGAATCAGAATGACGCCGCTACTAAGCAGCGAAAATCTACAAAAACAAACTCAACAATAAAAACCAATTTGGATACCAGAGCAGAGTTGGCGGACCTCATCAAGAAAAAGGCGGAAACATCAGTAAGTTCTGGAACAAATTGTTAAAATACAAAATCATTGCATTTCTCTGCCATTAGGAGCAACTGGCCAATTTGGAGCGGCAGATCTATGCATTCGAAGGATCGTATTTGGAAGATACTCAGCTATGTGGCAACATAATACGAGGCTGGGAACGTTACTTGACATCGAATAAGGCAACGAATTCCAAAGCAGACAAGCGGAACAGAAAATTCAAAGAGGCAGAAAGATTATTCTCGAAGTCGTCTATAACATCGATGGCGATTTGCAACCGTAAGATAAATGGGTCATGCCATATGTATTCCAGTAATTGAGTAAATATTTTGCAGCTGAACGTGCCAGCGAATCAGATTCGGTGACAAATGAAGACTCCAGTGACAATCAAATAGTTTTAACACAAAACACAACAACAGCCCATGATGGAGCGACAAGTATAAAAAGTGCTGGAAAGGATGATAAGAGTGACCGAGCATCGACACCGCAACGGGAAACGATTAAAGAACCTGGAACGCCGGGCGGCGGGGCCTCAACAAAGAGTAAACTATCCTCTTCAAGCGTGACGGCAAAGAAAGGTGGTCATGTCAATAAAAAGATCCGTCATCGATGATTTAGAGGAAGGTTGCGGTTCCGTTCGTCGTATTAAAAAAAGCCCGCGTTTGCACTTATCCCACTCAATAATAGTTCGTTCGCCCTCAAGAGTAATTTTCAATTCATACAGCTGCAAAAAAGCACATTTTAGTTTGCTATACAGTTGTTGTGTGTGTATTATGAATAAAAACGAAATGTAGATTAACTCGGAACTCTTATAAAACAACAAAGTATATAACTAGAACTATTATTAGTAGTGTTATAAACATGCCTCCAAACATAACATATTTGTCTTCGACAAAACGTCTTTCGATTAGTTTCATGGTATGGTTTGATAATCCTAAAGTACTGCCTATGGTCATAAGTCTTTTCTGCGCTCCCTTGAGCGTATTTCGTTGGTTCACAAGACTTGTAAGGATATTGCTGCCGGTTGACAACATTTCATCCACACCCTGGTGAGCATTGCCCAATTGCTGGTTATGCTGCAATGCATAGTCGAGGTCTAAGCATGTTTCTGCGTTGTTTGCTGTAAAACGGTGGCTCAGTAGTTGCTCCCGTTCTGAAATTTCCTGTTGCCTCCTTTGTCTTTTTTCACGGTAAAGCTGAAGACTGCTCTGAAGGTGTCGCAGATCATACTTCAATTGATCAACTTTCATTTTGGCCGTGGGTCGTTGTGAGACTGGAACTTTGTAGAGCAGAACATCTAAACGGTCACAATTACTGAAATATTTTCAATTACAAACAGTGTGAAGGAGTGGAACGATGTTCCAGTAGGACCTCGAAGTACACACATACCTATTGACCTGGGTTATTTTCATTTGTATCTCATTTTCCACATCGTAGTTGTCGGGCTGTCCAGCCGTGTGCACCAAGCGTTGAAAACTTTGTTCTATATCTTTCAACAAATGATTGGTTTGGTGATACAATGTTTCCATTACTTGTAAAATAAAAAAAAAAACAGTTGAATGTTTATTATGACGTGTGATACTTCCGAGCGACCGATTAGCAAAAACAAACAAAAGTCAAAGTCGACTGCAATGGCGCTGGTCCGAACGAAACGTAATTTTGAACGGCGACTATGTACGGCATCATCGACGTCTTTAGAAAATCAAAGTCTGAAAGAATTACTTACCGTTACCGGAGTATTGGGATTAATTCTTATTATAATCATATTTGCAAGACCATGTTTTGAAAAACACTTGACATTCCATTCATTTTTCGCGATATTTTCTTATATAATAAATTTGTAAAAATATATCAAATATACCAAACAATCTGTTGAATATGTTTATATGAAAAAATGGCACTATAGTTCCGTTCCAGAACCTAAAAGAATCTACAAATTTTACAAGTTTTGCAACTTTTTACTCGAAAACCGTCCTGACTCACAAAACTAGTAAAACATTGAATCAAATTTAAGAGAGCACAATACAAAATGGCGTTCTCTTTGTAAACTTTTTACTCGAGAAATTTGGCCGAGTAAAAATGGTAATCAGGAAAGCCCACTTCTGATTGGCTGTTATGTTGATTTTGAAGTATTGCCATCTAATTTTGGCATATTTACTAGATTTTCGTTCCTGAACTTTACAATTTTTTTTTTGTATTCTGAGAGCGAATTAGCTTTACTATTAAAAAGTACTGGAACAGGTCAAATATTATATAATAACATATTTCAATATTTATATAAAATCTTATTTAATATAGTGTTTCTTTATATTAGCATACTGTCATGGTATAATAATAGAAGGTAACAGCAAGTGTTGTTGTACAAAAAACGATACAACAACCACATGGAAATTTGTTGTTGTAAGTTCTATTAGTGTCAACTCATTTGACAGAAAAATGTAAACAAAAAACAAATTATCATCAAATTATTTTTATTTTGAAAATGAAATATTTTCGAATCCTCAAAATAAAAATTGAAAAACATGAATGAAAATCTATCAAATTTATATTTCTATCGCTTCCACATCTTTCCTATAATTGAGCCATTGCCATATATATGTGTAACACATATGAAAATGCTGGGAATAGCGAGTTATTCCTTGAAGAAAGATTTGCTTCCTCAAACTTTCCCAGCAGGCAGATTGAGTAAATTGAATACAGGAGCACATTTAATAAAGAACAATTTCAAATTGTATGCGTTCCCAATTTTCTTGTTGGGTGATTTTTAAAAACGTAATTTGTCAAATTCATATTGACACTAGTATTACGTTGGAATCAAATCAGCTGGAATTTGCTGTTACCTTTTATAATTGTACCATGGCATACTGTCTGCCCTTTTTGAAGTTTTTAATGAACGATAAACCCGTTATTGTTAAAGAAATAATTTTAGGCATGAGCCTTATCGCTGACTTGCCATGTCCATATTTTACAATATTACAGGGGAGACAAAATTCGACTTAGTCCCTGGAAACAGGCATATTTTTATTTGGCAAATTTTTTGTTTTCTCTTTTGAAATTTTCGCTTGCTTTTCCATTAGCAAATTTTTCTTTGCCAAATTTGCGAATCAAAATACAAAAGAAAGAAAAAAAGTCAAAAGTGTTTGCATTTTAAAGATTTTTTTAATATTTTATTTATTTTTTATATATTTTATTATATAAATTGCAAGAATTAAAAATTAAATTTCACTTGCACAAATTAAAGCAACAGGTTTGTAAACAAAAGCCGGCTGTGTGTCAGTAAAGCGAATAGGTTCAAAAGGAAATGTCAACAAAATTGTTTTCAACGAACAGAGCAAAGCAGAATTTGCGTGTACGGCAAATTCTGAACAGGCAAATTTTTGTTTTTCTTCCTCGCACCCCTCTCGCCTACAAACTCAGTATTTGCCAAATAAAAATTTGCCTGTGGAAAAGCAGACTTAGCGCCATTACCCATCACTGCAAAATCACAGCAACAAATGAGATAATTGTAGATTTTTATTAAATCGATGTATTTTACTTAGTCCTGATTTATATTAGGCGAGTTTACTTGCGGCAATTTTTATCTCAATTTCTGGAAAAAGTGGACTTATTGCCCTTTCACGTTAAGCCAGCGTTATATGATTCCGGATAAGTAAGTCGTGTCATTAGCATAATCCACAACTACGATATAGTCATGGACGGTTGTCCCTCCTGATTTATTCATATACGCTTCAAAGCCTAATCTGGCTTATAGTACGTTTACATTTAACGGGATTTAGTTAACCCAGTGGGTTTCAATTGTCAATTCCTTTGCATATATTTCAAATAAATCTTCATAAAGTAGGTTAACCCGGTACAAAGTTCTAATGTATATGCCCATGGTATAATAATAAAAGGTAACAGCAAGTGTTGTTGTACAAAAAACGATACAACAACCACATGAAAATTTGTTGTTGTAAGTTCTACTAGTGTCAACTCATTTGACAGAAAAATGTAAACAAACAAACAAATTATCATCAAATTATTATTATTTTGAAAATGGAATATTTTCGAATCCTCAAAATAAAAATTGAAAAACATGAATGAAAATCTATCAAATTTATATTTCTATCGCTTCCACATCTTTCCTTTAATTGAGCCATTGCCATATATATGTGTAACACATATGACAATGCTGGGAATAGCGAGTAATTCCTTCAAGAAAGATTTGCTTCCTCAAACTTTAACAGCAGGCAGATTGAGTAAATTGAATACGGGAGCACATTTAATAAAGAACAATTTCAAATTGTATGCGTTCCCAATTTTCCTGTTGCGTGATTTTTAAAAAACATAATTTGTCAAATTTATATTGACACTAGTATTACGTTGAGCCATTGCCATATATATGTGTAACACATATGACAATGCTGGGAATAGCGAGTAATTCCTTCAAGAAAGATTTGCTTCCTCAAACTTTAACAGCAGGCAGATTGAGTAAATTGAATACGGGAGCACATTTAATAAAGAACAATTTCAAATTGTATGCGTTCCCAATTTTCCTGTTGCGTGATTTTTAAAAAACATAATTTGTCAAATTTATATTGACACTAGTATTACGTTGGGATTTGCTGTTACCTTTTATAATTGTACCATGGTATATGCCGTTTTAGGTCGATGTTTGCTGTCAAGTTCAAAGGTGGGCTCTATAAATACCAAAGACCCATATAAATAATTTTCCGGTTTTCTATCTTTTGAAAATTTTCATAGTATGCAGCCGTATCTAACTAAGGAGGAAATACAAATTATAATTTTTGACAATGAAGGTACAGCAAGAAAATAATTTGAACATGTGAGTGTCGTGGCTTCTGCGGTATTGTTTTAGCCAGCATTATAACTAGATTAGCTTTTCGATCATGCAAATGATCGAATAGTATATACAGATATTACTTCCATTTGACACTTATTTTGCATTTTATTTCAACAGCATGCAAAGTGCATGTGTTATTACAAGAACAAAACAATATTCCTGCACTTACATGTACTTGTGACTGCAAAGGAACACCCAATTTCAACACATTATCACTGACATTCGTGCATTTACTTTACACCGAACTTCCCCAACACAGATCGAATCACGAATTTTCCCCCCGAAAGTTCAGCTTTCAGTTGTTTGTATGAGAAAAATTCTATCAACATTAACAACGTTAACAAACAATGCATTTAACAACAAATTGTACACAGCTTTGTTTTTATTTTTTAAATATCCCTAAGCGCGTTGGGAACTAAAAGGGGGGGATAATTGGCGAACTCCCTTTTAGAGAGGTAGGGGGTATATTGCTACACGAAAAAAAGACTTTGTCTGTGTGCCTTCATGTTATATTTGCAATTTTGTTTCTTTTATAAACTTGACCATATCATGCAGATGTTCCCAGTGATGTTTGGCTATGAAATCTTCGACGGTGAAGATTCCATTGAAGGATTTGTACTTGCTTCTGATGTTGTCATGTTTGGTGCAACTGAACAATATGTGTGAAATGGTTTCTTCTGCGTTGCATGTTTCGCAGTCTGCTGAGGGTACCGCATTCATTTTATAAAGGGTGCTCTTGCTGAATGTATGGTTGGACAAAATTCGATTCATCATCTTCTGGTCGTCAGGGTGTAATTTAGATTTTTTATACCTTTCTGGTTTGGTGAAAATTTTGAAGAAATGGGAATTACTGTGCTCTGCAATCCTGGAGTATTCTTCTGACCAGTCTTCCCATATTTTGTCTTGTATATGGTTTATGGCATCATTTATGGGCCATCTGATGTTTAGAAAGGTGCCTTCATTTTCTGCGTTTTCGCTGCTAGGTCTACTGTCTCGTTTTGGGTTATGTTGAGATGCCCCGGAATGTAATGCATTTCAACTTTGATCTGTGCGCTGTTTGATATGTGTACAAAGTCATCGATTAAATAGCTGTTATGGTTTTTGGATTTTATTGCTTGTATTCCACTTTTGCTGTCAGTTAATATTGCAATTTTGGTCAACGCGTTATTTTGAGCAAAGATTAGGACTTGATGGATAGCAATTATTTCCGCTGTCATGGACGCAAGCTTCTTGTCGGTATAGAAGGAATTTAAAGTATTGCTGTTGATATGCAAAAATGCGGCTCCACTGATATTGTCTATTACCGATCCGTCGGTAAAGAAGATTTCGAAGTTCTCTTCTTTCAGTTGCGCAATTTTCTCATTTATGAGTTGATTGACAATTTGAATGTTCGCTTCCGATTTTTTAGTGGCAATACCTTTAAAGAATTCTGTAACTATGTTGATGTATTTTGAAGACGCAGCTGTCGCTCTTGTTGGGGCAACGTTTAGGATGATCTCATTGAACTTTCTTAGGGTTAGTGCATAGCTGGAATTAATGTACCCTAATTTTTGAACCTGCTCTATTACAGGGAGGCCGTATGCTTTGCTTTTTATTAACTCTTTAGCTGTACTTATCTGAAATCTGTACCGTGGTGGAAGTTCGGCTGCCAATTGGTAAATGATTGGAGTTGTGGTGGATCTGATA